TTCTCCATGAAAATGAAACAGCTCGCAAATTGGGGGTGGGGGTGGGGGCAAGAGTCAGGGTGATGAAGGAGAAGGAAGACAGCTAACAGGCATAGGAGTGAGTCCCCAGTATGAAATTTCATTTTCCAAGGAATTTCAGACTACCTGCTGTTCAAAGATCCCTTTTGGAAAACTGCAGGCTGGTTCCTGCCTGTGGTCCTTGAGTTTACTCTTTTCAAGTTGCTGAAAGCATCTTAAAAATGACTTTTTAAAATGAACATGGCAGTGTCTTATCTATCTATGGGGGAGTTGCGCCCCAGCTCTTGGTTGGGTCCAGCATTCTTAAGGAGTTTATAAACGGAGTGATTGTTTCCCAAAGTTGTGTTCTGCGGGAAGTCAGTAGCCACCGTGCCTCGGGGGTGTTCTCCCCACCTTTAACTCTGCTCCTGGAGGAGGAAGGGAGTGGCAAAGGCACCGGGTGCCGAGCCCCACACTACGGTTGTTTTCCGGGAATGGCCTGCAAACTTTTGCTTTCTGTTTCCTCTGCTGATAATGACTGTCTTCGACTCTGCAGCCAGCTCCCCTCTCCCCCTCCCAGACCCCTGTTGCTGCAGCCATCCCCGAGCTCCAGTATAAAGTTTGGCTTTTGCAGCAGGAAGCAGCTGGGCCAAGCAACCAGCGAATGATAATGACCCCAGAAATCTGCTGCTCGCTCGGCAACAATAGGGTGCTCAGTCTACTGGAAAATTGTGTTCATCAGCTAACTCTGCTCAGTTACTAATTGACATTGCCAAATATTTTAAGAACAATTGGAATGCACAAGCAAGAAAAAAAAAGAAAAAAGAAAAAAGAAAGAAAAGAAAAAGAAAAAAGAGGAAAAAAGGAGATCTTAATCCTCAGACTTAAATGTATTTTCTTTCCTTTTTGTTTTGGAAATCATCTTTGGAGGGCTTGGATTTGTTTGTGTGGAACAGGCAGTGGTTACCACGAATGGGGGCGGGGAGGGTGAAGCACAAGGGAAAAAAAGGTGGGAAAGGAAGAAAATCTATCATCTCACTATCACCAGTGGGTCGCAGGGGGTGGGTCTGGATAAAGGCCTCCAATGCACTGGTCAATGGGCCTAGGCAGGATGGAGGCACAGCATCTCAGGAATGCATTCTAGCAACAAAAGCAGACTGGCCCCCAAGGCTTTTAGCCCAGCTGATCAAATAATCCTTGTCCAACTCAAAACATTACAGCAGAAGAAGTAGGGGTTAACGGTATTTCCATCTTTCTATCTCTTTCTCCCTGGCTTCCATTGATCACGCAACTTTGCTGATTTTATTTAATGAACGGAGGGTCAATGCATTCAATTACCCCCTTCCCACCATCAACACTTCAATTATCCCCACTCCAAAATGATGGGAATTCGGAAGGTAACTGCCCTGTTGGATATAATGAACAGTATCGTTTCTTAGTACATTAAGTTTTAATTATACTAAGCATGATTTCCAAAGCAAAATCTGAAGAAACAGGACTTCTGGTGTTTTCTGACTCAGAGCTAAAGCTAGGATATATCGGTGGTTTGGGGGTGGGGGGTTTAGAGAAAGATGCAGAGATTAATGTCATCAGAGCCTTTGCACGCAAGCCAGGAAATGAGGAGACATCAGAACAGCCGCCCCGCTCTCTAAATGTCATAAAAGAGTAAAATTTATAAGCTGATGCTCTCCAAATAGTTTCGCTTTGCAATGCACACGGACGCAAACGACATGCACTATGGTGAGAAATTATAAATGAGTCAAAGATAAACAAACAAACAACAACAAAGGGATATGGGGAGGTGATCTGCGTGGCAAGTCCTGCCGCTTTTCTGTTAGAAAACATGACCCCTCCGTCTGTCCAAGGTCCTAGTTTTCGCGGCTGATCTTAAGCTTGGTTCTCAGCAGTTTGGAGAGGCAAAAGAACAAACACATTTTCTGGTTCACTGGAATCATTTTCACATGTTCACTGATTCAAACATTCTTTTGCTCACATAAGAAACAGCTGCATCCCACATTAGCCTAGCCAGTGACAGTCGCCCATCTCGGCAATAACTGTTTGATTGCAAACTTGACCCCTTCTTCGTCTCGGTCTGAGCAAGACATTTTTAAACAGCCACTCCGTTCCCAATCCTCCTTTGCAAAGAATTACATCAGATAACAAAGGACGTCTCTGCCACTCATTGTAAGCCTTCTTCTAGAGATCTATTCTAAGAGGCTCTGCTAAAAAAGGTTTTTTTTTATGATGAATTCAGAACTACTATCATGTTAAGAGCAGCGGTTTATAAAGAAGAATTCATTGGTTAAGATCTGAAAAAATAGTTTCTCAGGCCCTACTGACCCAGTTTTCAACAAAAAAAAGAATCAAGCCATGCAAATGAAGTTTTGTGACATTGTTATGCGGTCTGAGAAATTTGTAAGACCGTGTTTTGCAGTTATTTCTTAATAGAAGCCTTAATAAGTACTTTTTTTCTTTACTTAAGGGCTTAAAATTTTTTTCCCTCCCCTTCACCTTGCAGGTTTCTAACAGGTAACAATAAAAACACCTATTGTGTCAAGAGTTTTATTTAAATACATCTTTGAATCGCACACTTTATACAAGTCACACTTGTTAGAAGAGGGAAGACAAACCAGATCTGGTTGAGAATCCTAAACCCCAGCAAAACCTGAATGCCCTTAGACATGCAGCTGATTTGGACTGCGGAGTGGGCCTGCCATCCTTTCCCTCCTTAGTCAGAAAATTATGAAAGGGTCTGATTTGAATATGAAGAAAACAAAGAAGTCAAACCCCAAATGAAAGACTCGGTATTCACAATTGTAAAATCCCTCAGCAGGGAAAATAAAGTGGAGAGCTAATGCCAACTCAATGCTTCTCTTAGGCAAGAAATAAATAAATAAATACATACATAAATCTGGACTTTTTTGGGGTGTGCGTTTTTTTCTTCCCACTGAGCATTTAGAGATGAGGAAGCAGCAAGCAGCTGGCTATCACTTGGCCAGAAGGTGATAAAAATCATGGTAAACATGTCATTAATAGAGTCGAACATTTGGTATTGGAATATTATGGTAAGACCCTCTTGCTTTAGCAGGTCTTGAAGAGAGAATGGAATCTGTCAGTGTGAAAACCATGTCACTCTAAAAACTTAGGGAATCCAGTCTGTTTCCCGGCCCCTGCCCCTGGTAGGTCCCCAACCTCAGAACAGCGCAGAACGCATTTCCTGAAGACGAGATCCCTTTCCAAGAGGTTGGGAAAAGTCCCTGGAGACAGTCTGGAGCTCACCATCCCGCATGTGGGGACCCATCCTGACAGAACTCCCACTGGCAGGAAGGGCAATTTCACAACTTCCCTCTCGTGCAAGGCCCCTCCACGCAGTGTGACCTCATCCTCCCTTGGTCCTCACATCCTTGTTAGACTCTCCCGAAGCATCTTGTCAGTAATAAATCGCCAGCGAGTCCAGGACTCCACGAGCAGACAGTGTGTTTCATGGGTATTTAAGCAGCAGCATTAAGTGCTATCGGAATCTCTGGAATGTGTAGTTCAGATTTATGTGTATTAACAATTCTTTACTGGCTTGTAATAAGCTCTCTCACACACACACATATACACACACACACACACACTGTCCTCTCTCTCTCTCTCTCTCTCTCTCTCACACACACACACACACACACTTTATTCTAGTATGAGTTTTGTTCTAGAAGAAAGGGAAGCTGAAGAGAGAGAATAAGAACAAAGTGTACCGGCATCTAGTTAGTAGCTACAGCAGAGAACAGCCTCTCTACGATGGAAATGACAGCCAACAGAGAAAACACACACACACACACACACACACACACACACACACACTCACATGCACGCACACACGCATGCATACACGCAAATAGAGAGAAGGAAAACTTAAAAAATGACCCTCAGCAGCACACTGCCACATCTTTAACAGTGGGCAACGCAGTGCCTCGAGGTGCCTCAAACTGTCTTTCATTTTCTAGACTTAATGGCTGATTGCAGAAATCAATGTTGCCATTAGTAACAGGGTATTTGTTATGGCATGATTTCCTCTGTTGTTAGGCAGTAGAATGATTACAGTATTAGCGAGGTGCTTTCTTTATAAAGGGCTGGAGATATAACTTTCAATTTACTATCCATTAGTAAGGGACTTTGGAAATAGGGACGAAGGCAACCTCTTACCTGCTGTTAGGTAGCGGTTTTAATTTAACCATCTTAGACTAGGATATCTATTCTTTTTCCTTCTCTTTTCTTTTTTTTTTCTTTTCCCCCTTCAAACAGGGCCAGGATGCTTCAGCATTTCACAGACATTTTTGATGACAGATTTTTCTGCTTTCTATTTTAGACCCCAGAACTGTATCGCCCATGCAACACAGTACAGCTGAAGACACACGGCCATACATCTGTGTTTTCAAACCTCTGTGCTTGACTAAACCCAGCAGAGGAAAGCAGTGTGGCTCTGGGGGCAGGTGAGCCAGGCTGCAGTTTCAGAAGGGCACAAGAGATAGGTTTCAGCCTGGGGAGAAAGGCTGTGGGAAAACCCCCAAGTTAAAGGCTTGGGTGGATACAGTGACGGGGAGGCCGTGGAGACCCTCCATATTCACGTCCATATCTGGAGCCAAGCCTGCACCTCTGGGTTCCAGAGACAAAGCTAAGAACCAGGTTCAACCACAAATGGAACTGAACAGCTGTAGGGGAAGGGTAAACTGTGTCCCATCAAAAAGCATGACTCCATCTCTACCACTGGGAAGGAGGCTCAGCTGCCTTTTGCTGGTAGCCATAGATCAAGGCTGAAAAGACAGTCCCGACTTTGGAGCAGGGCATCATCCTGAAGGAAAGATACACTCCCCAGCATCCAGCCTGCCACCTTCTGTGGTTTCAGCCACACTAACCTCAGAACCACCTTAAGGCCTGAAGTTCATGTGTAGGACCAAGCAGGTCTGGACAGGAGCAGGGCCTGAGTCCGGGGCACTTTCACTTTCTGTCTGTCAACCTACCTGAGGAAGATGGTGAAGAGGGGTGTGGACTGTCCTCCTGGGCGCTCCCGGTCTGCGACAGGCCACCTCCAGCCCCACTCTCCTCAGTCACATTAGAGGAGCCAGGTGTGGTGGAGCGGCTCACCGACTGGGACTCCTGGTCGCTGCCTGAGCCACGCCGCTCCTCCAGGCCCACGCCCACGCCCACGTGCAGAGCATCCTCATCACTCTTGCGGTCCCGCTTGTGAACACGAGAATGCACAACCACCTGGTGGTACGTACGGAACACCCTTCCGCAGTCTGGGCATTCAGTGGGCTTCTCCTTCATGTTCCCAGGACCCTGCAGGTTGTATTCGAGCGCCTGGTTGAGCCCGTGTGACAAAAATTCCCGACTGCCTTCTAGAGGGTCGAGCTTATTTGGCAGGTCTCTCTGATTGCCCACTTTAGTGCTGTGAACCAAATCAGCAGGCATTTTCTGCTTGGAGCCATCTGCTCCCACTAACACGTACTCCCGTTTCTCCTTATCAAACAGAACTCCGGCGTTTGCCAAAGAGTCTTCGTGGTTGCGCGTGAGCTGATGCTCTTTAGATAAGAAGCCATGTTCCATGGCCATGCCCCTGGCCATGAGCTGCCAGGCCTGATAGCTATTCACTGGGTCCATTTCTGCAGCCTTGGCAGCTGCCTGCAACCGCTCGATGCAGCTGGATTTTAGTGGTGGCACAAGGTTGAGGCAGCCCAGGAGGGAGTGCTTATCTCCCTCCGGGACACTGTGAGACATACTGGAAATGGGCGACAGTAGCTTTCCCAGAACCTCCTTCTCCTTCGCTGGGAGCTCCCCTTTGCCATAGAGCTGGGTGGGTTCGCTCAGACTGGCTTTGTCCGGGGCCATAAAGCCACTCTGCAGGCAGGAGAGGTACCTAGAGTACAGGTTGGCATGGGCCTCCTGGGACAGGCCACCCATGGGCACTGACACCTCAGGTTCGGTGGGGGACTTGTTCTTCACCGACAGCTTGTTGAGGTGTACCTTCATGTGGTTCTTAAGGAACCACGGCTCTTTGAAGCGCCGACCACAGATCTGGCAGCAGTGTTCAAAGGAATCTTTGTGCTTGCGCATGTGGCCTTTCAGGAACCAGGCCTGGCTGAACACCTGGCCACATACCTCACAGCGGAACTCGTTGGCCGACTGCTCTCCACCGCCATTGGGGCCCTGGCCCTGGGCCGACTCCGCAGTGATGTGTGCCTTTTCCACGTGACTGATAAGTTCCTCCTCCTGCGAGGCCGCGAAGTCACACAATGTGCACTTGTAGGGCTTATGCAAAATGCGGATATGGCGGTCCAGCTCCTCGCGCTTCTTGAACTTGCCTTTGCAAAAGGTGCATCTGAAGCCCGCAGCCGGGGTCACCGAATCGTCCTGTAGACTGGCTGGCTTGGGAGACGGCGCCGGGTGGGCTACGTCGGGCACACTGTGGTTTGGGGGCAAAGCTAAATTGCAGGTGGCCAATGGGGCCTGTTGGGCATGTGCCAAGGGCTTGAGATCAGACCTGGGTTGCAGCAAGCTGCCCTTCATCTGCTTGTCCCGCAGAATGGCCCTCTCCTCTAACTCGTGCAGCAGACGATTCTCCTCACGCACCCTCCCGCGCCCCTTCCCTAGGTTGCCCAGCTTGTGGGTCCGCAGGTGAATCTTGAGGTTTCCTTTTTGGGCTGCGCGGTGGTCGCAGTAGGGGCACTTGAAGGGCTTCTCGCCGGTGTGAGTGCGCATGTGCAGGGAAAGGATGCTGTTGAACCGGAAACGCTTGCCACACAGAGGACACGGATACTTCCGGTTCTTTCGGGCATCGTCCTCAATGTCACTCATCTGAGACATGATGCCTAAGTTCTGCCCATTGAGGAACTGCTGCAGGTCCACACGCCCATTGAGGCTGTTGTCCACATCACGGCCCAGCTGATTGGCCAGCAACGCCATTTGGCTGCCCATGGGCTGCCCGCTCATGGGTACGTGAGTCTTTTCCTCAAGGGCTACAGGTGGCTTCTCCTCTGGGTTGGGCCGCGGATGCAGCTCAGGAAAGGCATGGCTGAGCTGGGAAGTGATCTGGTGCAACTTCTGGCTCATGGCATACTGGCCATTGAGGACCGGGCTGCTCAGGTGAGGCTCAGCTTCCGGTGCCGTTGAGGACACTCCAAGGCACAGACTCGCGTCTTCCATCCCTAGAAATAAAAACAAGAGTTCAGATCTGGACCAGGTACAGTGGCAGAAAGAATCAATAGCATCCTTTGGGCATGGATGGGGATGGGAGGGGACGTTTGCATTTCATGACTTACCCACCCATAATAATGCTAAGGAATTATAGTCAAAAACAATAATAAAAAGATGAATTATTAAATGCCAATTATGCAATATGGCAGTGTCCTCCAATTTGTTTTGGGAATGGATCATCTTCCTTGTATTTTCTATTTACAAACTGCAATTATTCATTCACATTTCAATTATTAATATTTTACCATTTTCAACACCTAATAACGTATCAAGGCTCTGCGTGTTCAACTCATCCTCCTTTCCCTTCACCAAGTGTCTCTACCTGTTGGTTCAGTCCAAACTTTGCCCTAGAGCAGAGTGGCTTTCATCAAAAAGACCAACAGGGCACTTTCTTTTCTGTTTTACTATATTCAGTATACTCACTAGTCTAAGATGAAAGAGATCGTTTTATGATTTGGCCAAAGGAAAAAAAATAACACCAATAGCATGATATTTACTGGTACATAATAAAACAAGATAATGTTTTGGGAAAAAAAATAAAGTAAAGGACAGGCTTTAGAACAATAAAAGAGATTTTGCTTTAGTCAACAAAAAGTGCAGTAATATCTCATTAAGCTGATTAGTATGCTGCTTAGAAACAGTACTAGGTGCTGTAACACATGATTATAATCATAAAAATCCTTCAGTGTTTGCAAGGAAGCATTAACGAGGTATATTAAATTTTAAGGAGACTGCTAGTAGCAGCTTTGCAAACCTCAGAGATTAAGATTTAACCCTTATTTTACGAAACACTGATTTTTGTCATCTGGTAACTATGTGTCCATCCTAGCCATGATCTCCTGCTGGAATCTTGGTGGACTTGCAAGGCTGCTGATGCTTGGATGGAGGTAGACTTGTACCAGACGATGCTTTCTCCCTGTCCTGTGCCTGGCAAGACAGCCGAGCCAGGGACTCTGATTGGCCTTAAAGAGATCTTTTGCAGAACTAGATAAAAACCAATTAAAATCCAGGGACGATGCCATAGGAAGTCTCAACCAAGTTTGAGTGTTTTTAATAACTTTCCCAATATACAGTAATGAGTACAAATTGTACCTGCAGTATGTGTTTTGCAGAAAATTAGAACTCAAAGCTGTTTGTTAAACACAAACACTCGAAGCTAGTCTGTATAATTGTCTTTAATAGTCTCCTCTGCCCCCTCCACAGCCTGTGCAGAACAGCAAATGCCAGACTGTTCCAGGTGGGTCAGAGGGCAGGCTCTCCTCCAGATAAGAGCATGCAGGGTGCTTAGCTTGGAAAGCAAAGAGCCCATGCCTGGAGTCTTTCTATTTCCAGATATGCCTATGCTTCCCCCATGAAGGAGTCCAGATTCACCTCCTACTTTTAGATAGGTTTCTGCAGATCTCATCTTTGTGTTACAGTCCTTCAATGTGTTGGTTAGCTAGATGATTCAGGAGCCTTGTGTTTAACCTTAGCCAAAATTATGGGGCCAAGCAATTTTCCCCTAGGGGACTTGTGGGGCCAGAGCTCAACTGTGGGGCAAGTACATTCTGCCCCAGAAGAATCTGCTGTTTGTTGGATTGTCTCCCAGATAGACTAGTCAGAGACTGACTGCCTTGGCAAGAGAAAAGACGTGGGTGTTTAGTTCCAGGAGGGACAGGGACTTCAGTCCAGGGTAGCCCTCGAATGATGGCATTGTCAGCTCTTCCCATGCTCACAGATGTGTGTACATGTTCACTTGCTTAAGTAAAAGCAGCTTCCAATTTGCCATCTTCAATTTGGAAGGCTGGTCAGGAGCTAGGTTGTCATGGAGATTCTATTCAACAAACCAGTGAATTCTCACTGTGTACCAGTCTCTATCACTCACTGAAGATATACTGATGGGTGGTATTACTATCAGGCTCCAGGAATCATGGCATCCACTGGCAATCGGGGAGGGGCATCCCCATAGCGTAGCAGCTGTAGGCAGGAGTGGCCTCCAGGACCTAGTCTGGAGTCCTTCAGAACCTTTCAGCCCTATCTGGCTTCAACCCCATGCTGGCTCCTGTCTTGAGCAGATATGGATCATGTCCCTGGAGTCATATGACAGTGCACAGAATTCCACCCCGCAGCTCTTGGGAAGTTTGGAGACATCAAAGCCAACATGACTGGCCTACTTCCAAGGGCTGCCCAGTTGGCCAGCTCACAAGATTGAATCCAGGATGATGTGCTATTTTGAGATCTCTGAGGCCAGGTGCCAGTTCAGCAGAGACAGGGGAGGAGATTGGGAGTGTAAGCAACAAGACTATGATCAGGTTGGACAAAGATTGTCCAGTGGAAGGCCATGGCCACTTGCACCTGCCAGCAACTCAACATGGGAGTCTTCCAGTTTACCTTGAGTATGGAATTCTTTTATTCTGTCGAAAAGAAAAGACTGGTGGTTGTTGTTTGCTTAAATCAACCATATTTTTTTTTCTGATACCAATTCTAATGTTTTAGTGGAAGAAGGACTATAACATTCTAGAATGTGATTCCCCAGTTCTTCCAAGTTGACTTCTTGATACAGGTCTGAGTTGTCAGGCCCCTTTGCACCCACTTTGATGGAGGTTGGTCCTCAGCTCTGTTCTCTTTCACCTTCTAACTCCCTTGATTGGAGCCCTCCTGAATAGCCAGCATGTCATCACCTCTCTGAGGGCAGATGCCATGAAGCAAACCCTGAGGCTCAGTTTGCTCATCTTGGGTTCTGTGTCCCTCAACAGTGGACGAGCATGAACAGACAGAATCGTTGCCTATAGAAGCAGCTGGGCCCCGAAGGAGACTCACCTTCATTTCAACCTCAAGCTTATCACAAATTCCAGAACATTGGTCTAAAAGCACCAGAGAGGATTACCTCATCACCATGCCCCTCCATCCAGGTGCCCATGGGGACTCATATAGTCTTTAGCCACCTTTACCGTCCCTACTTTGGGCACTAAGGGACGACTCCCTTCAGAATCTAACTACCACAGAGCCCATTTGTTCAGAAGGACCAGCCACAACCCAAAAGGTGTTCCTAGGATCCAAGCCCCTGTGATGACCCTGCATGGAAGCCGGGTGGAGCGTGCCGCTGCCCTGTGGCACAGTGTCAGATAGATCTCTGAACCCTCAGCTTTCCATGAACACGTGGACCCAGGCTGCTGCTCTGTGTCATTCCAAACCACCGCCCGCTACTCCGCTCGAAGTAAGAAAGGGGAATGTGAGTTCTTGGAAAGAGTGTGAGGTAATTGATGTTCTGTCCCTGGGCCAAAGCAGCCGAGGCAGGACAAGCTGGCCTTGGGCCCAGCCTGGAACTCACAAAACCTGGGCCAGCCCCAACTTCTCCACACTTAGCAATCCACAATTCATTTAGGCCTCACCTCAGCCATTCTTCAGCAAGCATTGGTCATAAACCTTCTAACGTACCTGCCTTGTGGGCCAAGGACCAACAAAGGAAGGGATGAGAAAGTATCTACAAGGACTATGTTCAAGGTTAAAGAGACATGCTGGGGGGGGCGCACACTCACACATAGACGTGTGTTCAAGCATACAATCACAGACATCAAGTATGGCTGTTGAGAGTCAGCCAGGGATTCCACAATGGTGGCACTCCAGCAACTCGCACAAATGTATACCGTGGGAAACTAAGGGTCATTTATCCTACTATTAAAGGATTGGATCCAGCTGCTGCTGTAGGCACTCACAGGCTTGGAGGAGGTGGGCTGCCTGTGAGCACGCCACTGTTCTTACAGAGTGTTATTACTCCTTTCCCTAGCCTTCCAGGGGACAGACGCATAGAGAATGCCTTCCTGTGGGGATCGCACAGCTTCCTCATAGGCCACATGGCAAGTGTCTGACTGTGACCTCTCTCCACCCTATGGCTACGTCCTGACAAGCAGGGCACTTGTGCGTATCCCTGCACACTTCTGGACTTCAACAGCCAGCTTCGAAGGAACATTGTAGTCCCCATGCTCACTCCATCCTCTACTAGTAACCTGGCGAGGAGCTGAGTATCCATGCTGCAGGAGCTAGGGGCCCGCATCAAGAAGTCATGGGCTAACAGAGTATATGCCATGACCCAGGCCTTCGGGCAACTAAGCAGTCTGAACCTCCGCGTGCTACAACCAACACTTTCATGTGGGTGGCAAACTCAAAGTACAATCACGGCATGTAAACCAGCGGAAGATAGAGCTCAGAGGTCGAAGGCTCATCTCCTATGTACAAGGTCCTCAATCCCCAGTCCCACAAACATACAGACAAAATCGCTGTTCAACAATGAAAATGACTTGCTCCTGACCTACAGCTTGCAGCCCCATCCCTAAGCATATGAATGTGTGAATCATTGAGCATTAGTTGGCTGATGGAAGGAATCAATGAATACCTAATTACCTAAATCTAGCCAAGGCAGGCAACCGTCCTCACTGGAGGTAGTAGAGGTCACAGAGGCTATCATAACCTTCTACCTGGTCCTGACCTGACCTACCCCGGGTCACAGTGAGGGTATCCGATGTCATGGTCGACTCTGATGAAGAAACTGACTGGCCCGTGAGCTTCAGGCACTCCTATACTACCCACCATGGTGTTGGAAGTCCCAGGCTCCGCCTCTGAAGACAAATGGGTCTAGTGAAGGCTTCTGAAGCTCACGAGCTTGCTCCATGAGCTCTGCAAAGCCACCGTTCACAAGGAAAGGAACGTCAGCCATAGTGACACCTGCGATCGGATATGGCCGATCAAAATGCCTTCTCACCAGCCCCTCCCTGCAGGTACCGAGAGTCATCCGGCTGCTTTGGATAGAGCTAAGGGCTATTTTCATTTTTGCATTACCCCTTTCAAAACTGTTTCCTGTGATATCAATGGCAAAAGCACTCACTTAACTCTTCCGAGAGGACCTAATTGTATCTTTCCCTGAAGATGAAATTTGAAACTATCAGGACACCAGAAATGCCAGCAGTCATAACTT